TCATTATGAAACACATAAATGGAACGTAATTCTACAGAGTTTGAGATCTTTCCAGGACAGGATTTGTCTGGGAAGGTAACTTCTATCAAACTAACCTGACTTTGGACAGTGTTTAAGGAAGTCATTAGATAAAAAAAAGAAGTTCTAAGAAAAAAAAGAGTAATTAAGAAACTAATCTGAGTTTCCTGACTGTCCTGGCGGAGGAATCCAATCATGGAAGTTTAATGTTCTCAGCCTGTGATCAAACACTTTCTGTTCTCACTGATCCACAACAAACCTCTCTGCACACACAAATACTTCATTTATTTAAAAAAAACAGGCTTCAGTGCCCCCCCCCCCCATGTCCAAAAACTCGATGGACGGATCGATGGATGGACAGACAGATGGATGGACAGACAGATGGATGGTGTCCCGTATTAGTAACTTTAGAAACTTCTACAGAAGACAGAAGTCATCAGAGTCGCGACAACAGCTGACATGTAAACAGATGTTAACAACATGCAGTTCTGGACTGAGTCCACAAGATGTAGCAATTACCCCACTGTTGCTGTGTCTCAATGACGTCATTTGTTGTTGGCATTTGAAGGAGTTTTATCTCAATTTAAGGACATGACCAATGACGATGGGATTGAAACTAACTAAACTAAACTAAACTAACTAACTAGCTTCAAACTCTCTGACCACCTCTGTGTAATAATGAACAGTGTAATAAGGATGAGTCGTCGTCATAATGAACAGTGTAATAAGGATGAGTCGTCGTCGTAATGAACAGTGTAATAACGATCAGTCGTCGTCATAATGAACAGTGTAATAAGGATGAGTCGTTGTTATAATGAACAGTGTAATAAGGATGAGTCGTTGTTATAATGAACAGTGTAATAAGGATGAGTCGTCGTCGTAATGAACAGTGTAATAAGGATGAGTCGTTATTATAATGAACAGTATAATAAGGATGAGTCGTTATTATAATGAACAGTGTAATAACGACGAGTCGTCGTCATAATGAACAGTGTAATAACGATCAGTCATCGTCATAATGAACAGTGTAATAACGACGAGTCGTCGTTATAATGAACAGTGTAATAAGGATGAGTCGTTATTATAATGAACAGTGTAATAACGACGAGTCGTCGTTATAATGAACAGTGTAATAACGATCAGTCATCGTCATAATGAACAGTGTAATAACGATGAGTCGTCGCCATATTGAACAGTGTAATAACGATGAGTCGTCACTTCATGTTGTTGATGAAAGTGGTAAAAAACCAGTTCACTTTTCTGCTGTTGCTGTTTGAACCAGAGAGGAGAGACTCTGGTG